TTTTCTAATATCAAGAATGAAGATTTTTAACTTAAAAGACAAGAAAAGGATTTAGATGGGGTTTTCAGGTGATAGGGTGACATTTTCTCTGAAGGAACTATAACTCTCAGTCATCCTGGGAGTAGTTAGTCCTATGGCAGGAAAAGAGGTGACCTTGGAACTAGGACAAAGTCAGGCAGAATTCTAGCACCTAGACTTACTAGCTGTGGGGCCTAAGCTTGAGGTCCAGCTTCACCACTGACAAGCTGTGTGGCCTTGGGCAAGTTACTGACCTTTAAGTTTCAGTTTCTCATACAAGTGGTAATATTTACCTCAGAATATTGGCAAAGACTAAAGTAAGCATGAGAAATGCTTAGCATGGTGCTGGACTTTAGAATGAGCACTCAGGAAGCATGTCTGTTATCATTAATGAAGTGTATATTGTCTTCAGTTTCCCTTACGGGTGCCCGTTTTGAGAGCTGTAACACTTAGAAGAGTGAGCTGCAACAGTGGTTTATGTGTGTGAAATATTTTTTTTTCTAGTATGTTTGATCTGTAACCTGATACACATTTGAAGTGCCCTCAAATTCTAGTAGGGAAAAAGGTATTTGTGTGCGTGGGGGGTATGGAATGTGTGTGTGTGTGTGTGTGTGTGTGTGTGTTGCAGGGGTGATGGGTGATGGGGTGGGGTTTAATGTACACTAATCCCTGAATCCCTGGTCAGTGTAGACTGGGGACTGTTCAGGGTTTGGAGAGAGTGATTCTTAGGTTAAGACATCCAAACTGCTCAAATGCTGAATTACGAAGGACTGCTCTATCAACTATTGAATTTGCTGCTTCTTATTTAGACAAGGTTCATTTGTGAGTTACGTGGATATATCAATAGACTATAACATCTGAAAACAGATTATTCAACCACCTGATTGTGAACACAACTGTATCTTACTTAATCCATTCCACTCCTATAATAAAAAGAAAATATTAATAGTGAAGATAAAATTGATAAAAACAAGCAAGTGGGATTGAGTGGTTTACCGAGTTTCAGGGAATATTTTCATGGTATAAATAATGATACTTGTTTGCTGCCATTTCCAGTGTGCCTCTGAGTGATTCAGGTGGTCAGACTCTAGTGAGGTTGTCCAAGCTGAGTTATCACATTACCCAGGAGGCCGGCTGTGCAGGCTGACTTGCTTTCTCTTTAGGGGAAAATGAGTTCATTACAAAGAGAAAAGTATGTGTCATACAGTTTCCAGGAATCTCAAGTGTTTGGCTTACAATATTTTTTTTTTAATAAATTAACACGAGTATTCGGAAGTCAAGCTCTGGGAGGCTTCTCCTGAAAATAGTTACAAGGCTGCATGAATTAAGATTATTTGGGTCATAAGAAACAGAAAATAGACTCTGGCTAGCTTAAGCAAAAAAGAAATGCATTGGATAGAAACAGAATTCTCTCACTCATCTAAGAAGTCACTGACCAGGCAAACCTTGGGGAGAACAGGGACTGAGGGTTCAGTAGCAGGAGTCGGTAGAACTTTGCTATCAACGTGCTCTGCTTCAGCAAACCACAGTCTCAGTTCATTTCTGGAGAATTGCATAGACCTGGCTTGAGCCATTGTTTGAGTTTATCCTTGGACCAGTCAACTATGGCCAGGGGCGGCATCTTTGAGTCCAGACAGTGCAGCTGAGCACTCAACCCATACCACCCTGGCAGCCCCTGGAGAAGCGAGGCAGGCAGCTCCCCCAGGGTACCTACCACAGGGTATTTCAGCTTTGAGCTACTTTCTTTTTCCTCCTTCCTTTAAAGACACTGGTGAATTTTTGTTCCACTCTTTGCTTGGGGAAGTTAAATAGGTCCCTGCCCCTATTCCTGGACTCTTGGTCAATGATTTTCAAGAAGTTCTGTCAGCGTCAGTCAGCAATTCTACTTAGTCAATCGAGTAATAGCAGTCTTTGGGTAGTTCCCTTTGTGACATGTGCTCTTCATCAATTCTTTGCTTACATTTCTTTTTCCTATATTGATGTTTTTGCAGTTTTTAATGTATATAGTTCTATGTTGATTGATATCTGATTATTACGCATCTTTGAATGGGTTGGCCACCAGATGAAGAGAGTGGGTAGAGTAGTGAACTGTGGTAGTCTGTACCCCAACTTGGGTTTATTGTCTCAAACATCCTCTCGTCAAATTGGTTACTGTCTTCATCTTAGAGGAACATTTTCCCTCAGTTATCTTCTCTCCCCCCAACCTTTTTATTGAGAGACTGTTCAATAGGAAGGTGTTATTTCTTCTTTTTTAAAAATTATGGACTGTATAATTCATATAGAAGAATAAATAAGATAGATATATGATTATTAGTCTCTAAAGGCTAATAATAAAAGGAACATTCACATATAAATAGAAGATTTCAGTGTCTTAGAAATCTTCTGTGTGCCCTGCCCTGATCACACCGTTCTTCCCCTGGCAGTAACCGTTTGCTGACTTTTGTGTTCATTATTTCCTCACTTGAAAACAATTTTTAAAATCACCTATGTATGTATGTATGCCTAAGCATACATAAAAACACGATTAGTCAGTACAAACCTAGCTGAATAGGGAAAGAGCTCTATTGCTATTGTTAGAAAAAATCTCCTGGGAGAAAATAAGCTGAACAGAGTTTCCTGGATGTGGTTTACGAGAGACCCTTCTGGAGAAGTCTTTGGGCAAAGGCTCGAAGGAGTCCTGGAAAGTCAAAACATCTTGCTGGCCAGGAGTGTGGGCCAGGGGTTTCCAGAGGAAAAATGGGTAGAGAGAGTGGGATTCTTGTGTTTGTTGCTTCCCAGTTCACTATGATCAACCCCAGCACTCAAGGGTAGATAAAAAGCAGTGGTTATCAAAGTATGGTTCCTTGGCCAGCGGCATCAGTATCGTCTGAGAACTTGTTAGAATTTCCTAGGTCCGGGGCGCCAGGGTGGCTCAGTCGTTAGGTGTCTGCCGATCTGCCTTTGGCTCAGGTCATGATCCCAGGGTCCTGGGATCGAGCCCTGCATCGGGCTCCCTGCTCAGCGGGAAGCCTGCTTCTCCCTCTCACACTTCCCTGCTTGTGTTCCCTCTCTCACTGTCTCTCTCTCTGTCAAATAAATAAATAAAAATCTTTAAAAAAAAAAAAAGAAAGAAATTCCTAGATCCCAGTGCAGACCTATGGAATAGACATCTCTGGGGGTGGAGCCCCACAATCTGTGTTCCATCAGTGATTCGGTACATGCTAAAGACTGAGATGCATTGAATAGAAGTATATACTCTGCATATATCCTCAGTTGATCCAGGTTGTAGGGCATGGAAAGGAAAGAAGGAACTCAGTTAATTAGCATACAGTCAAGATAGGCTGAGTATAGATAATAATATGAGCCAGGCTCACTAGGTATTCTATCATGGATCAAAAAGGTAATACAAGGCAGCTGGTATTTGTGGGATGACAGCTCTCAACTTGGCTTCTTTTGGTGACACTGCTTCAATCCAGACTGCTATCTTCAAAACCTGGTCCACATTTATTAACCCAGGATCTTCCTTCATCAGTCTACCTTGAGATTACCTTCAATTCTGTCCTCTTTTTTCTATTCCACATCTTCCTTTTTCTTGGTTTACTCTCTTGCTTTGGTGAAGCTCAACATGCAGTAGTTTCTTCCAAAAGAGTGCATGAGATATAAATTTTTGGAGTCCTGGAGTATCTAAAAATGCCTTCATTCTTTTTTCATACTTGATTATTTGGCTGAATTTAGAGGAATGCTGAAGACATTGCTCCATTGCTTCTTATTCTTCAGTCTTCTTGCTTCTAGTCTTGCTGTTGAGAAGTCTAAAGTAGTCTGATACCTGTTGTTTTTTTTTTTTTTTAAAGATTTTATTTATTTGAGAGACAGAGGGCATGAGCCAGGGGAGGGGCAGAGAAGCAGACTCCCCGCTGAGCAGGAAGCCCAATGTGGGACTCGATCCTAGGACTCTGGGATCATGACCTGAGCCAAAGGCAGACACTTAACTGAGCCACCCAGGTGCCCAAACAATTATTATTATTATTTTTTTAAGATTTTATTTATTTATTTATTTATTTATTTGAGAGAGAAAGAGCTGAGTGCAGAGCCCTGCCGCAGATCCCAAAACCCTGAGATCATGACCTGAGCTGAAATCAAGAGTCAGATGCTTAACAGACTGAGCCACCCTTGCGTCCTGATACCTGTTTTTTTTTTTTTTAAAGATTTTATTTATTTATTTGAGAGAGAGAGAGAATGAGAGACAGAGAGCATGAGAGGGAGGAGGGTCAGAGGGAGAAGCA